ACCGAGAATATGTGTGTGTTTTGTACCTATAACGTATTTGTAGTTTTAAATAGATAAAACCCCTTTTCAAAGTAGAATTTTCCCTGTAAACTTGAAAGATTGTTAACTCCCTATGTGAGTCGTTATAACCATACTACAACGAGAATTAACCTGCAACAACGTTTTCCAGACGTCAAGATCCTATGACTCTTGTCACCCGCAGACCTCCAGGTCCGGCTGTAGCTAGCAGCGATGTGTGGGGTGTCAATCCCAATATAGATCTATACACAATTATCACGCTCTCCCTACAAGAGACTCTGGTTATAACTTACAGTAATTTTAACCCGTACTGTTGAGAGAGAAACTTGGAGACACACTTGAACAAGAGTTAGAACAAGTATAATGCGGAATAGTTAATCTCAAAGGATCTAAAAGCTCAACAATAATATAGTTAGATAGTTAGAGAGTTAGTTCCGGAAATGTAAAGGAATGGAAATGACAGCAATTGTTATATCAAGAAGACGCTTAAGCTGATTCATAACAAGGAATGCATTCACTCCAAGTTAATAAGGAAGATCAAGCTTAGTGATTAAGTCTTAAAGACTTGCTCCGAAGAGGGATTATGATCAGCAGAATTATGATAAGATTTAAGTAAGAAGAGATGAGTGAAGAAAGATAGAGAGATAACTTCAGAATGTGTATTCAGATAGAATTCATAAGTTATCGGTTCTTCAGTATCGAATACAAAGAGAGTAAGTCTCTATTTATAGAGACTTAGAAACTACACTAGATTACAACTCTATAAGCAGTCGTGCAAGGCATACTGGATAATAGAGTGTATTACATAAAAGACAAATAAAGTAATCTAGCTAAGTTAACTGCGGTAGCTGACTCCGGTTGCAGATGCGGTTGCTGATGAACAAGATTGACTCCGGGTGCTGAACCGTTGCGGTAGAAAGATGGTTGCGGTAGCTGAGTTCAAGAGGGTCACTTTTATGATTCAACACGTACTCTAAGAGTACGATGGAAGAATTGTCTCACAACTTACGTTAACTGGTTTACATATATTTTGAGTATAAAACCTCTTCCGTGGTGGAAGTGAAATCACCTTTTATGTAATAAATTCGTGATATGAAATCCATAAACTATTACTATTATAGTTTATCATGTAGTACATGAAAAACCCGTTTGATTTGAGAGTAAAACCTTTTTCATGTAGTATGCTTTTATTGTAAAATCCATAAACTATACCTATTGTAGTTTATTATATGTGTTCGAAGTGAATGAAAAACATTATCATGAATGACTAATTTCTGTTTATGATGATAAAACTAACAAGAAATACATTCAACATTTAGAAACTTATTGTTATGCACTTTGCTCAACATACTACAAAGTGTTGTTAATATTGTAAGTTATGTAACTAGTTTTTAACCTTTCTGCACTGTTTTACGAAAATCATAGAAAAATCATACGAAGTCGAAAACTGAATCCGTAAACGCTGAGAGTTTAGAAAATGTGTCTAGTTTATTCATAATTTTTATTATGATTTTTAGAAGTCTCTAACTTGTGTGAAAATGTTCATATTCACAGACTGGTCCGAATTCGTTTCTGAAATGATAGACAGTTTTGTAAAAATCACCATAAATTGTAGGAAAATCGTATGGAGATGTGCAAGTAGTCATTTTAAAGGTATGAACCTAAAATATTTTCATATTAAACAGTTTTGAAAGATAATAAGTCTAAGTTGGTCAAAATAGTCCGTGAATAGGACTCAACTTTTCTGATGAAAGCTGTTGTTTGAATTTAGTTAAGTTTTTGGTATTTTAACTTGTATCCCCCCCCCCCCTAAAACTTGAAGAAAACATGAAAATGTATGGGTATGAACTCACCTTGAGTGATTTCCTGAGATGAATGTGGAAGAAGAGAGGTTTCCAAGTCAAGAACACTTGGGAGATGCTTGAAGATTCGAAGATCTAGTAACAAATATGTTGATTATTGTGTAAGAAATCCATGATTTGGATAAAGGATTGTAGAATATTTAAGTGTAGGATGAAGATACTTACCAAAAGTGGAGGAAAAGCTCAAGATTTTCCTGGGAATTTCGAATTCTGGAGAGAGAAAGTGAGAGAGAAATGTGTTATCTTTTGGTGTAAGAAACGGCTTCTTGGAGGTGAGATAAAGAATTCCCAACCTTTGTTCAAGATAACTTGCTGGAAAAAAGGGTGTGAGGGGACAAGGAAGAGACTAAGGATGATGGTATTGGTGACATAAAGCATGAATAGTGACATGGAGTGGGTATGGGAGGTTGCTTGTGTCATAGATTTATGGAAAAGTCAACACTCCATTTAAAAATCTTATCCAATAGATTTTATTCCTAGACTAAGATTTTCCCTCAAAACTGATTAAAATATGAATATATAGGGTCTTATATGTCAAAATATGAGTTTGGGTGAAAATCCCACGTTAAAATCATGAAAACGGGCTTAAAATGAAGTCGGGGTCGAAAACCGGGAAGATAGAAGCGAACATGCGAGATCAGGGCCGAAGGTTCGGTCCCAGCCACTAGAACCGAAAGTAGGTTCGGTTGTTAGATGAGAACTGAGAGGAGGGTTCGGTCCGAGCAGCTTCGCATGCGAACACGGAAGAGGAGCAAAGGTAGAAGAAGCGAAATAGACCGAAGCTCAGCTGGAGCGAAATAGACCGAGAGGCCTGATCCGAACCGAAGGGTGAGTTCGGTCCCATATGTAGTTTCGGTCTTATGCAGGTTCGGTCCTCATGGTTCTGTTCTTAAGGCTATGTTTGGTTCCTATAGGAAGGCTTCGGTTCCTAAGAGGTTTCGGTCCTATAGGGCTGTTTTTTCAAGTTATCTTCCCGTTTTGAGTGATTTTTGACCAAGTTAAGGGTCGGGATGCCCCGAGTGATTATAAAAAGTTGAGAGAGATTTTGAGAGAGATTTGGGAGAGATTTCATATTCTTGGAGAGATTTCACATACTTGGAGAGATTTGGGAGAGATTTCACATACTTGGAGAGATTTAGGAGAGATTTAGATAGAGTGGGAGAGATTGAGAGAGGCTTTGTTTGCGACCTTTGCGAGTGTTTTAACTCCGAAATGCAAGGTTTGTAAACCTCATTTTGCCTTGTTATGAGTTTTATACGCCCCCGAAGGGTATGTATTAATGTTTTATTGAGTCGTTCTATCAGTTACACTGATTAGGGTTTAGATTTTCTGAACACGTGGAGACTCAAAGTGATACTTTGCATCAAGATAGTGTGTTGTACAATAGTAAGCACGATGTAAACCCTAATATACAATGGTTAAATGAGTTGATCAGTTTGTCTTGTTGACTTTATTTGACTTTGACTTGACTAGAAATTGACGGTTGTCACAATAAACTCGATCATGTCCAACTTCAAATGATCAACAACAACACTATGTTCCTCACCATACACATCTTCCTTGAATCAATTGGACTTCCTAGGTTTGCAATTCACTCTCTTTATGAGACACCCTCTACCGCTCAAATATTTTTAAAATCAAGGGAAATTGGTCACAAAGCTCCTCTTGAAACTATAAGAAATTTCAATAAATCAAAACTTCCAATCACCTAAGAATTTCCTGGTTTACATCATCATTCGTTGTCTCACCGGAAAAACTAGAGGAACTGATCAACTCAGCACCGCTTGGCGTCAGATACTTTGGGGCATCATCACCGGAAGACCAATTGATTATGTTGCTTGCATATGGAATGACTTCAAGGAGTACATCAATACTCGTAAGATGGAGATCCCTCATGCTCGCTTATGGATTGTTTGTCTTGAGTCTCTCTACAATGCCTCAAAGATACCAGTTGATGAGTCTCTAGAATTTGTAGAGACTTGACAAATGAAGAGATTTAATGTTCCTGATCAAATCAACTTCGGGGCCACAAAACGATTACCAACTGTACTTTTGGATCTGATTCAAAGAAATTCAGAATTTCTTACCTAACACATTAAGGATAAGGATGAGCCAGAACCGGAGCATCCTACCCCATCCTCAGCAAAATTCAAAAAGCCACAAGGTCCAAAGTCGCCACCACACCACAGAATATTAAGATGATTCCAAAGAAGAAAAAAGTTGAGAAGAAACGCAAGGATTCAAATATACCCTATCCACCTCCCAAAAGACGCATCCTATCGCACACCACGGACTCCCAACAGTCAGGGGTGATAACAGACCTTTCGTCGGGTCAGAGGAACCTAAAGCCATCCATTCGTCCCCTCAAAGAGAAGACGACTCAAAACTTAAAAGGGTTAATTTCACTTCCATAGCCACTCCCTCTCAAAAGGGTGCTGGAAAAACTTCATCCACTAATCCCCAAAAGGACACTTCCTTAGGTAAAAATTCTTGTTCTTCATAAGATAATATCTTATTCTTTTTTGCACACACTACACTTATGAAGCCTTTGCTTTGGATACAGCTTATGCTGCCAAAACTATGGATATATCCATAGGAAATCCTATCAAGACTATCATAAAAATCATTTTGCGAGTCTAGCTAGATAGAGACATTGGTATCTATCTACGCTTGAACAAAGTTCTAAGGAATGGTTGGTTTGTATGTGTATATGTTCAAAATTAAACAAGATATTGCGGCATGCAAAATTTCCTCTGAGCCATCCTAGATGGTGAAGTCTCCTGATCTTTCAGGAACTTCGGATAGATATAAAGTCATTTCTACCAAAATTCAACGGGAGAAGGAGTTAAGAAAGAAAGAAGAAAAAGAAAGACAAATCATTGAACAAACAGTTGAACTATAGAGCTCTATGCGATCTGATGGAGAGTAATGAAAATCGAAGGAAAGGAACTGGAAGCTGCTGAAAGCAGAGTTGTAGAAGAAAAAGTGAAAGAATAACAAGAAAGCAACATAATCAAATCCCTAACAGAACAACTATTAAAGAATCAAGCCTCAGGAGCTCCTCCATCACCACCAAAGACTTCTACCACCTTGAAGACATCATCAAAAACATTAACATGAATGAAGCTCAGCTCAAGGGATAATACTTTTGGAGATGATTCCGATGAATATGTCTCAGAATCCATTGGAGTAATGACCAATATATTTGTCAAGCCTCGTCCTCCACTCAATACCGCTACGTCACAGAAGCCTTCAACAGAACTGACTGCATCTTTATCAAATTCCACCAATCTTCCTTCAAAAGAACATAAATCTATAGCTGGTTCTGGACATTCTTCAGTTAACATTAAGATTCTTGAAGCCAAAGTTGATCTTCTCTTAGAACATCTTGCCAAGCCGCCCTTGGCTCTAATTCCTCCAGTGGCTTCATCAATAACCGCAGAAGATCTTGAAAAAGCTCTTCAGAAGGTTCTTTCTGAATCCTCTGTTCAGCCAGATTCTCGCCTCAGGCGTCTTGAAGATTTCTAAACCTCCATCACTACTACTCTCAATAATCTCTCCAAGGAATTTTAAGATCATAAAGATTCTGTCAAAACTACTTTGGAGATTTTCTTTGAAACTCTGGGAAAACAATACAGTGATGAGATCGAGAGACTTCGTCAAGATCACCATCATTATCATAACAACACTTTTAGTCATGACAAGTGTCTGCTCCAAACTCTCTAACGACACCCAGCTTCTGACAAAGTGGCCACGTGAAGAATCTCATAAATTGAACAAATACGTACGTAAGATTGGTGTCTTCCTTGATACTGTTGAGATCAACACAGGTGTTGATATTCTTTCGAAGAACATCACTCAATCCTTCCTCAAAGCGTTCTCCAAGCTTGATGAACTTAAATTTGAGTTCGTGAACGAGGTTGGGCCTTCATTCATGAAAGGGGGAGAAGAACCTCATAAAGAACCTCGTGCATCTCCTAAGGATGTTGATGAGAAAAAGATACCCGAAGGAGCTGTTATTCACTTCTTATATGATGATGTGAATACTTCTAAGAAGCTTCCCACTCCATCATCTTCTCCTAAAGATCTCAGTCCTCCGAAGTATCCTCCAAGATCCTCTCCAAGAAAAAACACCATCTCCAAAATCACATCCTAAAGCAACCTCTCCTAAAGATCTTGGAAAGTAATTAAATTAAGAAGAAGTTGTTCCTCCATCTGAACCCATATTCAAAATCGATGACGAAGATGAAGAGACTAAAAGACAAAATAAGCTAGAACAAGAACACCCGGATCATCTAGTCGCCGCAATCCTTCAAGAACAACTCAACAATGATAAAATCAGTCATTCTTCTCCTTCTGAAGATATTGAAGTGGATCCCTTGTTCCTTCCCTGGAAATCTTTTATCAGAGTAATTGAAGACATGGATATTACTCCTTATGAATCCTTCGATGCTCCTTCAATATCTGAATATGGATGGGACCTCCCTATCTCTCTAAATGGACACTTATTTCCCATTTTCCCTCCTCTGACTTCCTTCAAGTCAAACAATGAACCTTTGTACAATGAAAGGAAGAGGTTGTCGAACTTTTATGCCAAACATCAGCAGAAAATCTAT